TCCCTAAACCCGAAACCCGAAACCCGAAACCCGAAACCCGAAAAAACCCTAAACCCTGAACCCTTCTGGATGGGCCTGGAAGTGTCGCGCTGCTCCTGTAGACGCTCGACAAAGACGCCTTGGGCAGCGGACTGGAGCAGCTCCAGGAAGGTCTACTTAAGGTGTGAGACTAGGGTTTGGGGTTTGGGGTCTAGGGTTTGGGGTTTAGGGTTTAGGGTTTAGGGAGAACTGTATAACGAACTGGCTCTTGTGCTCGGTGTAGAACCTGGCCTAGCAACTGTAAGTAGCTCTCCTCTTCCAGGAGCCTTTTCATGGTCTGTCGCCATGCCCTAGGTCTTCCTCTTCTCCGCAATCCTAAACCCTAAACCCTAAACCCTACACCCTAAACCCTAAACCCTAAACCTTAGACCCTAAACCCTAAACCCTAAACCCTAAAGCCCAGACCCTAAACCGCATGGAAGAAGACGATCTGCTCCGGTGCGACGTCGTTGTCATCCGTTGGGAACATGGAGAAGACAATCATCTCTCCAAGGTCAATGTTCTTGGCCATGAATAGGTTTGCCAAGATGTAAAATGTCCTCTACTTTTCGCGACAAACGTACCCCGAATCTAGGGGTCATCCCATGTAGTCCCCAAGGGTAGGGTACCCAACACCTCGGAATGCGCACCCTGAGCCCGAAACCCTCCATCCCTGGGGTCGACATCGGTCCAACTCTAAGCCCAAAACGCCCTGGAAGAAGGTACATAAACCCCCCAAACCCTCAACGCCAATGCTGATAGGTCCGGCAAAGGCAAATGCCCGAAGGGCCAGGGTTCCGTAATCCCTAAATGGATGCGAGCTCACAAACCCTAAACCCTAAACCCTAAAACCTAAAACCCTAAACCCTAAGCCCTGTAGGGTTTACAGAGAGAAGGGGCAGTCTGCGCCAACAAGAGTGCGAGACGAGAATCCCTAAAGCCCTAAATCTAATGCACCAAGAGTAATTTCTCGACTCCTGCCTAGAAAATCCACAGCACCCTAAACTCCAAACCCCAAACTCTTGACTTCGACAAGAGCCTAGACCCTAAACCCCTTAGGGTTCAGGGTTTGGGGTTTAGGGTTTAGGGTTTAGGGTTTAGGGCTACAAAGCCCCCAAAACCCCCCGAAAACCCCCAAAAAACTCGAAGCACCTCACGGGTGCGCGTGCGCTCGCGCTCGCGAGGGGAGGCCTGCCGGCAGCCAAGTCGAGGCAAACGTTCCGGGATTCCCGATAGCAATGGGTTTAGGGTTTAGGGTTTAGGGTTTAGGGTTTAGGGTTTAGGGTTTAGGGTTTAGGATTTAGGGTTTAGGGTTATGGGTACCCCTACCACCCACCTTGGAGGGGTAGTATAGAGGGGGGGAGGAGGGGAACCCATGATATACGGAACCGACTTCCCGGAGGTTCCCAGAACCCTGAACCTACAATTGCCCCCTAAAATGAAATGCTGACCTGCGCAGGCCATCACCACCTTGACCCGTTCAGGGTCTTGGAGCCCAGGATTTCACCCTAGAAAGCCTCAACCCAAAACTCTAAGGCCCTAGACCCTAAGGCCCTAAACCCTACCCTAAACCCTAAGGCCCTAAGGCCCCAAGGCCCGAAACCCTAAACCCTAAACCCCAAACCCTAAGCCGTGTATTTTTGGGGAGACCCGAGAGAGGCCTTCATTCTCCTAAGCCCCAAGAAGTGAACGCGCGTGACGGGCATGGCAAGAGAAGACAACGACGCAACGATGTGAAAAAGGTTGACATTAATCAACGACCTCTAAACCCTCCCAAACCCTAAACCCTAAACCCTAAACCCTAAACCCTAAAGCCTAAACCCTAAACTTGATTGCAGGTCTCTGGCCTGTGAAGCCACTGGTGGTGCTGGGGTCTGCGGTGTGCCTTGGGGCGGGTCATGCCAACCCTAAACTTCAAAAAGTGTGGGTTTAGGGTTTAGGGTTTAGGGTTTAGGGGTTAGGGTTTAGGGTTTAGGGTTTTGGGTTTGGGGTTTGGGGTTTAGGGTCTAGGTAAGCCGCAATGCCTACAGCCCCAAACCAACCAAGTCCTACAAATTCGAGTCTAGGTTTTCGGGCCTGGGGGGGGGGGGGGGGGGGAATAGAGTCTAGCAGGGTTTCGGGAACAAGGATCGCAAGCCCTAAGCCCTAAGCCCTACTCGGATGGCCCTTAAGAAAACTCTGAAATACATTCCTGAAAAAGCATCCCCTAAATTCCAAATAGGGGAAAGCAATTACAAAAACAAACAACATATATCCAAAAAGGCCTACCTATAGCCTTTCTAACCCTTAACCCCTAATTAACCCTGCCCAAAACAACACCCTAAATCCTCCAAACCCTCTAAACCCTGAACCCTCTGACCATCTAAACCCTCTAAATCCTCTAAACCCCAAACCCCAAACCCTAAACCCTAAACCCCAAACCCCAAACCCAAAACCCTATAGGCTATAAACATTATACAGCCTAAACTCTAAAGCCTATACACCCTAAACCCTCTAAATCCTCTGAGTTCAAAAGGTCTATACACCCTAAACCCTCAACTCTCTAAACCCTAAACCCTAAACCCTAGACCCTAAAAACCCTAAACCCTCTAAACCTTCTGAACTCTAAGCCCTGAAACCCTAATTAAACACCCAAAACCCAAAACCCTAAATCCTAAACCCCGAACCTTAAATTCTCTAAAGTCCTCTGAGCTCAAACAGGCCCAGGTGCCCTGGGGGCGCACGCGCTGGGGCAGCGAGATCGGTTCGATGCTGCGCCGCGTCTCGAAGGGCGCGAACTGCGCCTTTGCTGGGGCGCTTTTGTCGGGGGGGGGGTTTTGGGTTTAGGGTTTAGGGTTTATTGTTTAGGTAGGGTTCAGGGTTTAGGGGTTTAAGGGTTTAGGGGTTTAGGGTTTATATTCGGCTTTGGGGGCTTAAGGTTTAGGGTTTAGGGTTAGGGTTTAGGGCTTAGGCTGGAGCACTGTCCCTGGCCGGATATTCCAATCGCAAGGGATATGGAATACTCCAAAAAATTGTGAATGGTTAACTTCCTACTCAGCACCCAGCCGGGTGGCGGGGAGGGTCAGGGGTGTCGGATTGTGGGGGCTTACTGAGTAATACTGCGTTTACGCTTCAGGCGGATTTGGGAAACTCCGAGGTCTTCAACAGGAGTAAGCTCTGTGAAATTGATTTGCCAGGGGGACTTGGTTTCCTGGTAGCCCAGTGAGCATATTAGAATGAGACTACCCCTTTTTGGCTACTTTACAAAGGGAACCTGGGACGAAAAAGAAGGCAACAGGGTGCGACTGTGCTACCAAGCTTCAAGGTGACCGAGCAGACAGGCTTCACTCACCCCTAAGCTGCCAGCTTTGTCTGCCAAGGTCTTCCTACAGCTACTCCCCTCAGCAAACCCCGAAGGTTTAGGGTTTTCGGATTTAGGGTTTACGGCAAGGCAGTTGGGTTTAAGTGTTTTGAGGGCTCGCGTCTTGCCTCTTCGTGCAAGAGGAGGTTTGCCAAGCCCTGCGAAAAGGAAAATCTGGAGCTTTGTCAAAGGTTGAGTTTAGGGTTTGGGGGGTCAGGCTGCCAAGTAGTCTAGGAACATGAGAAGAGTGCAGTGTCCGTGTCGGCTAACGGGTTGATAAGGGAACCTAGACCCTGAACAAGATTGGAGTGAGGGTGCTGTTCGGAATCGTAACTTGAACTCGAAACAAACCCTATGGGCTTTTTCGTCTACACCCCTGAACTCAAAAACATGCAAATCCACCCCGAAACCCTAAACCCTGAACACCAAACCCTAAACCCTCCTGTACTTCTGAAGGCGTGAGGGCAATCTCATCCCTCACCCTGAGCCAGGATGAGAAAAGGCCAAGCTTTCTGGATTTCCCAAAGGGCCCATGTACTCTAAACCCTAAACCCTAAACCCTATATAAACCCTAAACCCTAACCCCTAAACCCTAAACCTGGGCCTCAGATAGTTCCTATAGACAGCAGCTTTGAGAACGCTGGTTTTGGTCTAGCCCAAGTGCAAAGGTGTAGGGTTTAGGTTTAGGGTTTAGGGTACAGGGCTTGGGCTGCACAATTTTTGAGAACCAACCATCATATGATGGGAAGTCACGCCCGGTAGAGACAGCTCTGAGAAACAAGGCCTCGTGCGAGTACAGAGCTGGGAGTAACCTAGGAATGAAAAAGCGCGCCCTCTTTGGTTTAAAGGGCTTATATACGGGAACCTAACCCGAAAAAACGGTAGTAGGGCCTACTCTGAGTCCCAGGAGCCCTAAACCCTAAACCCTAAACCCTAAACCCCAAACCCCAAACCCCAAACCCTAAACCCTAAACCCCCCCAAAAAAGGGAATAAGGGCCTATGCTGGGTCCTAGGGTTGAGGGCTTGGGCAATGGGCATGCGAGCCTCGATGCTGGATGCCGCGAGGTGGAGCACGCCGAGTGCGGGACCGAGGGAAATCCTCTCGACAGGACGGTTTAGGGCCTATAGGGTTTAGGGTTTAGGTTTTGGGGTTTAGGGTTTAGGGTTTAGGTTTAGGGTTTACCCTAAACCCTAAACTCCAAACCCCAAACCCTAAGCCCTAAAACCCCCACGAAGTTGGGGGGAGGGGGGGCGGGGTGGTGTCTCTATTGGCTTGGGATTGATAGGCCTCAGGGCTTGTTTTGTTACCTCCAGAAGTTGGGATGTTCCCCCCTATTGCTAACAGTCCTTCATGAGATTTCACTAGGGGGTACTGCTATAACCCATACTATGCTAGTATAAGGGCGAACATCCCAACCTAAACCCCTAAAACCCCAAACCCCCAAACCCCCAGTTAAACCCATAAAGCCTAAACCCTAGCCCTCCAAAGAACAAAACAAAATAGGAATACACATCAGGTCTTTGGTCCTACCGCGTCCCCCCAAGACCCGATTGAAATGCCGTTTCGTAGTCACCGGCAGCACAAGTACGAAAACTTGGAAACCCCCACGGGGTGAGTAGAGCCACAACCCATGAGCCACGTTAATCAAAAGGCCGTATGGTGTCATATGGCATGAAGCCTATCCTACCCCATCAGAAGGCCTAGGATGACACGTAAAAACCACTCAGATCATGGACGCCCTAAACCCTAAACCCTAAGCCCTAAACCCTAACCCTTAAAGCCCCGAGATCCATGGCCTGAGAAGGCAGAGCGCAAAGACCAAGGAGGCACGAAGGACGCCCCAGTCGTGGTAGGCGACCTGGCACAACATGCATCCTACATGGAGGTCCTGGTGCACGTAGGGTCAACAGAATGACAACCCTAAACCCCAAACCCTAAACCCTGAACCCTGAACCCTCTAAACCCTACACCCTAAGTGCAATATGGCTTCAGTCATCCTTGAAAGGCACAAGAGCCCTTAGAGCCTATGGGGCAAGGGTTCTGGGTTTTCACCTGCGTATGCTTCAGAGAAAACCCTAAACCCTACACCCTAAACCCTAAACCCTACACCCTAAACCTAAACCCTAAACCCGAAACCTAAAAGGTATAGGGTTCAGAATAGGGTTAAGGGGTTAGGGTGATCCCAGAAAATTCTGAAGCCCACACAGGTCAGATGAGCGACCGCCAAGACTCTAGTTGTCGGGCCTAGGTCGCACAATAAGGGGGGGGGGGGGCGTCGCTTTTCGGTGTCCCACGTCGATTTGCAGGCTTTTTGAACCTTCCGCATGCAAATGTCCTCCCAAGAACAAGTCGCAACGACCTAAGTTTGACCCTTGCTCATTCAACATCCCAAACAACCCCGCGTGCCAACCCCGAAGCGAACGATGTCTTTCTGAATGATTTTGCAACACCTTAAAACCCTAAAGCCCCCTTCAACTGAACACCGTCCTAACATGAAGCCCCCAACCCCTAAGCCCCAAGCCACCCTATAACCCCCGAAAGCGTCAAGCCCCAGGCCACCCTAATTAACTCCTAATCCTACTACCCTAAACCCTACTCAAACCCCACAGCCTAGGCCCTAAAATGCCCTAAACCATCCCAAAATCCTAAACCCTAAACCCTAAACCATCCCAACACACCAAGATCTCGTTGGAAGGCAGCATGCCAAAGCCTTCGGCTCTGCAATGTTTGGGTTGAGGGGCTTGGTTAACGTCTATAGGTTTAGGGTTTAGGGTTTGGGGTTTGGGGTTTAGGGGTTTTGCCCTGACACGGCATGCCCTGGAACGTCCCGGGGGTGCTTGTTTGGGGGCGGGCGGGTCCTTGCGCACGACTTTGCGTTCGGATTATCGGCTTTCTAGGGCTTAGGGTCCTTCATGAGCTTCGGGTGTGTGGCCTGCGTCTGCAAGACCATCTGGCGGGCAGGGGTCAAGAAGGTGTCGACGACCTCAGCGAAGGAGACACCGACGCCTGTCGGGCCTACAGGGCCATGAAGGCTTGGGCTTAGGTCTCGGGCTTGGGGGTTATAGGGTTTACTGTGTTTAATTAAGTTTAGGACACGCAGTTTAGGGTTTGTAAGGTTTAGGTAACCTAATTTCGCCCCTCTACCCTCAATCGGAAACTCAAGACCCCAGACCCCAAAGCCCTAAACCCAAAAAAGCTGAGGTTAGCGGGGGTTAGCCCTCCTTCGGGGCAAAAAGGCTGGCCGCATCCCAGCGCGACAGGGTCGGGGAGGCGTTCGCAGACCCCAAGCCCTAAACCCACCAACCCTTTGCTAAACTGTGAACTTGTGAACCTTATCAACCCTAAACCACGAAATCCCAAATTCAAAACTAAACTCCGAAACCCCGAAGTAAACTCCCAATTAAACCCAGAAACCCCTAACTAACCCCTGCTTAACCCTTCATGAAAATTAAGCACCTGCTCCCTCAGTTCGAAGCACACAGAAAGTCCTGAACCCTGAGCCCCCCAAACCCTAAGAGATCTTCAGCTGCACCTGGCGATCCTTGTATATCAAGCCGAACCCAAAACCTAGCCCGAAACCATAAAACCCTAGCCCTAAACCCTAAACCTTTGGCCCTAAACCCTAAACCCCAAACCAGACAGACCCCACCACCAGCGAAGTTCCCCACAAAGCTCTGCCTATTGAACGACACGACCGGCCGAGGCGGGGAATTTGAAACCCCTAAACCCTACACCCTAAACCCTAAACCCTGAACCCTAAACCCTAAACCCTAAACCCTAAACCCTATAAACCCTATAAACCCTAAACCCTAAACCCTAAACCCTAAACCCTAAACCCTAAACCCTAAACCCTAAACCCTAAACCCTGCACTCGGGGCCCCACAAGCCCTGCGAAGCCCTGTAGGATGCCATCCAGAAAGCCTCGGTCTTTTGAAGGTTTATAGGGCTTGTTTTGGGGTTTAGGGTTTAGGGTTTAGGGTTTAGGGTTTAGGGTTTCGGGTTTCGGGTTTAGGGTGTAGTTTGGGGTTTAGGGTTTAGGGTTTAGGGTTTAGGGTTTAGGGTTTAGGGTTTAGGGTTTAGGGTTTAGGGTTGAGGGTTTAGACACCAAAACCCTAAAACCCTAAACCCAAAATCTAAGCCAATTAGGGGGTAGGGTTTGGGGTTTAAGGTTTAGGGACTCGCAGGGGCTCAAGAATTTTGCAGGTGAATTACTTCCCCTCTACAAACGAGGGGCCCATACATCAGAACCCTTCAGAGAAGGTTAGGGATAATATAGTATGAAGGGCCCATGAAACGACACCTAAACCCGACACCATGAACCCTATAAACCCTAAACCCTAGCCCTAAACCCTAAACCCAAAACCCAAAACCCTAAACCCTAAACCCTTAACCCACCAAGTTCCCTATCCTAAAGCACTGCCTTCCCTCAGCGATCTATGGACCACGAAGGCTGGTCTCTGCTGTTCCAGGGGGTCAGCCAACCACTCCTAAATGCTTCTGGCTTTTGTGAGCGGCTTCAAAAGGGATTAGGGTTTGGAGTTTTTGGGGTTGAGGGCTTGGGGTTTGAGGTTTGCAAGGGGCTTAGGGTTTGAAGTTTCGGGCTTAGGGTTTGGGGTTTGGGGTCAGGGTTTAGGGGTTGAAGGCTCCGGGTTTTGGGGTTTAGAGTTGAGGGATCAGGAACCCATCTGCGGCCGAGGGAGCTCTGCGCGCGAGGCCGCGGAACGCCAAGGATCAACTGACAGGCGACGTCCGAGGAACATGTTGGGTGCTCGAGGGAAATGCAGGGCTTGGGAGAAGTAAGGGTTCAGGGTTAGGGTTTATAGGGTTTATAGGGTTTATAGGGTTTATAGGGTTTATAGGGTTTATAGGGTTTATAGGGTTTATAGGGTTTCTAGGGTTCTAGGGTTAGGGAATGGCGATCTGCAGGGGCATATTTCTGGCAATTATCGAGCTGGTTCAGGGCGAATTTGGGGATCAGATCCTTTGGCCTGGGAGCGGAGTGGGTGAGTTACAGGTTCCCTAAACCCTAACCCTACACCCTACGCCCTACGCCTACACCCTAAACCCTAAACCCTAAACCCTAAACCCCCAAAAGCCTGTTTGTCCCTACGCCTTCAACCCTAAACCATGCTTGGGTAGGTCTCTTGGGGTAGTTTCATAGTCCCTTAGCATGGGCCCTTAAAAGGGTCCCTTATCTACCTATACAAATTAAGGGCCCATACATGAGACCCCTTTAAAGGGACCATTTTACGGGCCCATGAAACTACCCTCAGGGGGTTTATAGGTGCACGACTTGAGGCTTGCAAGTCCCAGGACCCTCAAGAGCTCGGGAAAGCCAGGGGCCCAACTTCCGCTGTTTAGGGTTCATACCAGCAGGGCTTAGGGCAGCGGGTCTTTCGTCTTCAGAGTGTCGTGTTCTAGTTAAGAGGTATAAGAAGGCCTAAGTAGCGCGTGCATAACCCCTGAGGTCCCCTACAGGGGTTCCTCCAAGAGTCCCTTTAGGGTTTTGGAATAAGCTAGTTGCTGAGGCTGGGCGGAGCGAAACATCTTTGTCAAGTGGCTTTGGAAAGAACTCGCGCCTGGCATGCTGCTCTGCACATCGGCCGAGCTAATGCCCCAAACACCGAACCCAAAACCTGAATCCCTGAAACTTAAACCCCAAACATTACCCATACACCCCAAACCTAAAGCCCCAAAACCCCAAAACCCTAAACCGATGACCTGAAACCTTAGACATTAGCCCTAAGCTGGCCCATTTGCAACCCACAAACCCGAAAACCCGAACCCCAAAACCCAGACTCAAAGCCCCTAAACCCACCAAAGCCCTAAAATCCCCGTGTCAGACCGACCCCCCACAGAACTCAAAGGAACAATCGCGCAGGGCCTGGCGGATGCTATTCAGCACCAGCACGATGCCAAAGAGGCTGTTACCTGCACCAGGGCACCACTAGCTAGACCCAAGACTAACCTAGGAATCAAAACCCTGAACACTAAACCCTAAACCCCAAACCCTAAACCCTAAACCCTAAACCCTAAATCCTAAACCCTAAACCCTAAACCCTAAAGCCTACCTAGGAATGAAAAAGGCTGCCCTTCTTGGTTGAAAGGGGCTGAAACGGGAAACGAGGGCCTAGTCTGGGTCCTACACATACAAGGGCGCAGTTTAGGGTTCAGGGTCTAGGGTTTCGGGTTTCGGGTTTAGGTTTCGGGTTTAGTAGTACTTCATGGGTCTCAGATGTCAGCTGGTTCTTTCACTCGGATTTGTGAGGGTAGAAGCCAAGTAGTAGGATTCTCTTATAATAAGGACCCCAGTAAGGTACCCCAATTTGGGAAACTACCATATCGTGTTTACGACGCATTTTCAGGCCCTCATACCTCTACTTGCAACTATGTCGGCCCCTCACTCCATGACCTTTCTAAACCCCGTACCCTCAACCGGAAACCCCAAGCACCCGAAACCCCAAACCCAAACCCCAAACACCCTGATCCTAAACCCCAAACACCCTACAGCCCAAAACCTAAACACCCAAAGGAACCCTCCATGGACGCAGAACGATGTTCATGCATTCCCCTGGGTTCCCCCCATAAATCCATAAATGTAATAAGACTATTTACAAATAAATAAACCTCAATAAGGCCTTTTAAGGGGGGGAACTTGGGGGGGGGGGGGGGGGGGGGGCAGTATGGAGCGGGGGTAGGAGCCCTAACCCCTAAACCCGAAACCCATGTCAGATGTGTTGGCCCACCGGGGCTTCCGAGGACGCCGGCAGGGGATTTGGGTTTAGGGTTTGGGGCTAATAGGGTTAATAGGGTTAATTGTGTTAATAGGGTTAATAGGGTTTATGGTCTTTTTTAGGGTTTTTAGGGTTGATAGGGTTTACAGAATTTGGGGTCTCGGGTTTAGGGTTATTTGCTGATGGCACATGAGGTGTTGGAGCTGCCGCACTGGACAAAGCACTTTGGGAAAGCTCAGCGGCGCCATGTTTCCACCACTTGGAGGTTCATGGTACTTAGTAACTAACTATAGCCGTCCTTCTAACCCATTTATAGCCTAGGTAACCAGACTTAGGGGACTTAGAATTGGTCTATAAGTACATTTTTATTTCGTGACCAAGTACCATGAACCTCCAATTAGCCTCAAGACAGGTGGTAGGGAAGCTGCTTTCGATGAGCCGCCGCTTTACGCCAGGGTGAGAACCCTAAACTCTCTGGCCCCCTAAGCCCCAAGCCTTAAACACTGAACCCCTAAACCCAAACTCCTTGAACCCGTCCATCCATTCGGAGTGCCTGTTTCTTGACTAGGGTGCGAGGCTCGAACGTGAGTTACCTCCAGATTTGTGTGTCCCCACGTCTGCCCCTCAGTCATAAATGCGACGACAGACCCAAACTAAGCGAACCCTAAACCCTAAACCCTATACCCTATGAGCCTCTTGAAGCGTGGAGGTTCATGGGAAATCATCAGCTGGAGTGGGGTAACTAGTATTATGTTAAATACCAGTCGCAACCTTGCAAGGGGCGCTTTTGAACACTCTTACAACGGGTCAGGAGCCAAACCCCAAACCCTAATCGCCAAGCCCTCACCTTATAAAACCCTCTGAAAATATTCCTAAATATGGGCCTCTTAAAGTCTTAAAACCCAGTAATAATGGGAAAGTACAAAATATCCCGAGGGCCTATGCCAGCCCTAAACCCTAAACCCTAAACCCTAAACCCTAAACCCCAAACCCTAAACCCTAAACCCTGAACCCTGAACCCTGAACCCTGGCCTACCAACTCGGCGAAGGCACGGTAGGTGCCCTCTGCCACTCCTTGGACCAAGGGCTCCACCTTGGAGAGGAGCCAGGGGTTTGGGGTTTGGGGTTTAGGGTTTAGGGTTGAGGGTTCAGGGTTTGGGGTTTAGGGTTTAGGGTTTAGGTTTAGCGTTTGGGGGGGGGGGGGGGGGGGGCTGCGCTCCTGACTCTGAGCAAGCTCCCACAGAAAGGAGAAGGGTGCTACTGAATTCCCGAAAATCCTGAACCCCCCCAAAATGAGGGTTTAGGGTTTCAGGTTTAGGGTTTAGGGTTTAGGGTCTAGGGGAACTTCTGGGCATCCTGTGCGACTTTTGGCAAGGCTTTGGTCGCAGAAAGCGCGTGCTGCGCCCCAATTGAGGGGTTTTGCGGGTGCAGCAGGCGCTTCTGATTTGGAAATTGTTGCTGCGGCCCCTAAACCCTAACTCCTCAACCCTAAATCCTACTTGAAGATTCATAGTACTTAGTAACTAATTATGACTGTACTTTCAACCCAATGTAAGTCTCTAAGTCTAGTTCCCTAGGCGATAGTTGGGATACAAGTACAGTAATAAGTAGTTACTAAGTACCATGAAGCTCCTAGTAACCCTAGCCCTAAACCTCAAACCCTAGCCCTAAACCCTATCCCTTTGGGGTGTATTGTCTGGAGGGCTTCAGGGGCCTGCCGGTTGTGAAACGGCCTCTGCAATTTGCGACATGCAAGGCGGATGTTGACGACTGGACGTTAACACTGAGGGGCCCCCTTGTTCTGCCACCCTGAACCCTAAACCCTAAACCCTAAACCCTTAACCCTTAAACCTTAAACACTGAACCCGAATCTAGGCCTTTATAGCTTTGTGTGTGGCCGGGGCACCCCTCACTCTGGGCTAGGCCCGCGAATCGTGAAAATCACAGGGCGGCTATACCACCCTAAACCATGCCGGCTCTACTGGGGGCCTTAACATTGGGATCGGAATAACTACGACTAGAATTCCCTTATGGCCTCTTGAGAAACCATAATTACCCTAAACCCTAAACCCTAAACCCCAAAACCCTACTCGAATTCTTCAGGCCCCGAAAAATACCTCCATTTTGCCGGCTCATGCCAGAGAATGACACCGCCTTAGCCATCTCACCGAGTTCAGGCGGCCGCGCCAGCAGGAGGAGAAGAGGATCCTGCGGAAGGGAGGCCAAATCACCCTAAAACCCTAAACCCTAAACCCTAAACCCTAAACCCTAAACCCTAAACCCTCCAGGCTTGAAGGGTCCAGTTGAGCATCGCGATCAAGGCCAGGCACGTCAGGAAGCCGAGGAGGAAGAGAGGATGCCGCGTCAGCGCGTAGCTCTCGAAGCTCCCGCACCTGGGGGGGAGTTTAGGGTTTAGGGTTTAGGGTTTAGGGTTTAGGGCTAGGGTTTAGGGCGCAGAATGCCCCAATGTTGAGGGCTCATGTTCGCCCAAGGCACGCCAGGCCGTAGATGGCGCACACGAAAATCTTGGCCAAGAGGCCACACGCGAGGCTTGCCGCACCGAAGCTGGGTCCGGGCTTCCTTCCCACAGGGTTTAGGGTTTAGGGTTTAGGGTTTAGGGTTTAGGGTTTGGGGTTTAGGGTTTAGGGTTTAGGGTTTAGGGTTAGGGGTTAGGGCTTAGGGCTCAGGGTTTAGGGTTTAGGGTTTAGGGTGTGGGGTTTAGGGTTTAGGGTTTAGGGTTTAGGGTTTAGGGTTTAGGGTGTGGGGTTTAGGGTTTAGGGTTTAGGGTTTAGGGTTTAGGGTTTAGGGTTTAGGGTTGAGGGTTTAGGGTTTAGGGTTTAGGGTTTAGGGTGTGGGGTTTAGGGTTTAGGGCTTAGGGTTTAGGGTTTAGTGTTTAGGGTTTGGGGTTTAGGGTTTGTGGTTTAGGGTTTAGGGTTTAGTGTTTAGGGTTTAGGAGTTTAGGGTTTACAGCTTAGGGTATTTAGGGTTTGGGGAGTCTTAGGAAGCCCCTTTGACAAACTTAATCATCTCGACGGCGAGGTCCCGAAGACGGACTAGACAATCCACTCAGTTGTTTTGTGCAAAGACAATTCTCCTAAGGGTCCATGTACCTAAACTATCAATTTCTTAAGAACCCCGAAAGAGATTAAAAAAAAAAAAAAAAAAAAAAAAAACATTCTTCCTTATCAAGGGTAAGATAGGGATTATGTTTGTTTAATTCTTTTGGGGTTCTTAAGCAAATGGTAGTAAATAGGGAGTACTTGGGCCTTGAAGTACCTCCTATATAGGGACTCTACGGTTCCCCAGGTACATAAGAATCAGGTACATAGACCCTTAGGGTTTAGGGTTTAGGATTTAGGGATGTGCTCAACAAACGGCCGAGCTTCACCCAGGAAGGAAGGAGGTTCATCGCCCGGAGTAGGCAAGAATATGCCAAGGGATTGCAAAACGGTGCGAGGGCAATCTGTGTCAGGTTCACCTTAGCTGTTCTGCGAATCTCTGCTATATAGAATGGCTTCTATAGCTGCTTTCGTACCCGAAACCCTAAACCCTAAACCCTAAACCCTAAACCCTAAACCCTAAACCCTAAACCCTAAAACCCTAAACCCTAAACCCTAAACCCTAAACGACGATCAAGAACGGTCTAGTCGCCGCCAGATACTGCCCGACGCATTCAAATCCCAGCTTGTCGTAGAGATGCCTCGATGCCCATGTGACGGCTGTTGCGGCCAGGACGGCCGGCATGTACACCAGCACGCAGTCAAGCCACGGCAAGTCCTAAGTTTAGGGTTTCGGGTTTAGGGTCTAGGGTTTAGGGTTTACAGGTTAGCTGTAAATTTCGCTGAGAAAGATTCGGAAATAAGATCCTCTTATGCCCAGACAAGGAAATTCGCAAAGTATCCGAAACGCCTGCCGAGAATCTGTTTCAGAACCGAGGTCGTCCACAATTGCAGCACGAAGTGGGAAGCGAACATGGTCATTGAAGACCTGCTTGGATGCCCAGTAACCCTAAACCCTAAACCTTAAACCCTAACCGCAGCAAACCAAAAAAGAAGGTCCACAGGGGCGTATACAGGAACCTATGCCATCTAAAGAAGGGAAGAAGGGCACTACCGGGCATCTTAGACCCTAAACTCTCAGGTAGGGTGTAGGGTGCAGGCTTTAGGGTTTAGGGTTTAGGGTTTAGGGTTTAGGGTTTAGGGTTTGTACCATAAACCGCCTGAAGGCGATCTCCACGCGTAAAGTCAGGCACCACTGCTCGAAGAGCACATCGCTCCTCCGGCGACAGCTGCGCGCCACTGCTTTCCTTGCTCTGGGGCTGCTCAGATATACTAGTAGTTTAGGGTTTAGGGTTTAGGGTTTAGGGTTTAGGGTGTAGGGTGTAGGGTTACTAGTATAGTCCTTGTTAGCGATTCTAGTACCGCCTATTCTAATCCCCATTAAGGACTGTTCGTATAGGGGGGAAAATCCCAACCGGTAACCTAGGAAATGAACCAACAAGTGAGGCTTAGGGGTTAGGGTGTAGTGTCCCTTTCCTTGTGCGGGCCTATAAGGGAGGTAAAAACTTACAAAGAGGAAAAAGGGCACTGTTCTAGGCTGCCCAGTAGCCAAGGCTTAAAAAGGGTGCCCTTTTTTGCTTAAAGGGGTTTATAAGGGAACCCAAACCCCCTAAAAAAGGGAATAAGGGCACTACTGGGCATCCTAGTGTTGGGCGTCTTAACCGAGTAGTCCTACAAAGGCCGTGGACATCAAGTATGCAGAGCAAGGGTCGCCAGTTACTCTCGGTTGCGGTCTTTGGGGTTTGGGGTTTGGGGTTTAGGGTTTAGGGTTTAGGATTTAGGGCTTAGGTTTTGAACTGTTTTCCACGCCTGGTTAACACACGTACTGCCAAACAAGCGATGGCACAAAAACACATCTGTCCAACAAAGGCCTAGCATTCCTCAAGCAGGTCAGCGCAACAAACTACCCTGCACCCTAAAACCTAAACCCTATCAACAAACAACGAGACCTCTGATGTCAGCAAGCCAAGTCTCCATGCTTACTTCTCGCTGCCAGTCGGATGCCTCAATGGGAATGGTGATTATCGGCTCGGACAGCCCGTCATAGAGTTCTGCGACCTGTCTCTCAATGACATGGCGGTCGCTGTCCAGTGAACACCTTAGTTGTCCAGTATCCTTGGGGAACTAAAGGTTAACCTTTGGGATTCTCAGTGGACGTCTAGTACCCCCAAAAATAGAGGTTACCTACTCTACAACGAAGGCACTTTGCTGCCTTGATGTCAAAGGAGGCCATGTTCTCAAGCATCGAGCGATGACCAGCAAGCTTGCGGCGGAGCAGCACAACTGCGACGATGTAGAAGGGAATTTCCAGCACTGCATAAACCTCAAGATCTGACACCACTTGTAGCATGCGCTGGATGCCATAGGCGACCATGCTTCCATCCATTGGTGCATACTTTGCAGTGTCTGTTATGCCATACCTCAGCATCCCAAACGTCAATGTCATTTTGGGCTGTGATGCACGCTGTCACACTAAAACCGAAACGCTAAACCCTACACTCCTGCAAACTTACATGGAAACTACGTGCATGATTTGGTGCAACTAACATAGCTACGGTTACCCGATTTCGACCCCTAATTTTCCCCAATAAAAGCGATGGCGAGGACCCCTCCGGAAAATTGTATGTTAGTGGTTATGCTGGGGTTGATGGGGCATTTTCCTGGAATTTTAGCAGCAGGCTGATGTGCTCAGGTATGCACACAACTTCCATGTTAGTGGTAAATAACTCCGAAAACACGCATGAAAAGGCCTTGCAGTCCTATTCCTGGAAGTCGCTACGCTAGCAGTGTTCTTCTGTAAAACAGGACTTTTGAGCATATTCCCGCAATTGCTAGGTTAGCGGTGCTCGTCGCCCACGACCCCCCTCCTACCCCCGACCTCCCGGAACTACCCCCTCCACCCGTGACGGCAGCCTCCCCGTGCTCCTGGAACCTTTGCCTCCCCCTCCATAATAGGGTATTCGCCGGAATTGCTATGTTAGTGGTCCACTCGCTTGTTTTGTTGGGTTGTGGGTGTGTACTGCTGCGCGCGGTC